TTCTCATGTATATCAGAGCTTCATTGTGCCAGCATCTTAAGTTCTTTCCCTCTTTAGGCCTTTGTACTTGCTCTTCCTGCTACCTGAAATATTTATTCTCTAGCTCTTTTCAATGATGACTTTTTCTCATCATTGGGATTTGAGCTTTGTGTCACTTCATCTGAGAAGTGTCACTTCATCTAAGTGGATCCTGCACTATTTTCTGTAATACCACTCCATGAATTTTTTTCTTAGTGTATATCTTAGCTTTTAATTATTTTTATTTATTTATTTGGTTGATTATCAGATGTCTCCACTAAAACATCAACTCCATGAGAGCAGAGACCTTGGAGCTCCCTTCTTGCTGTTAGGCGCTCAATAAATAGTTTTTCAGTGAATTATAATGAATTAAATCTTATTTAACCACCAAAACTTTAAAAGTTTGTAACCATTTTCATTGAACATAGTCTAAAAATATACTATGTAGTTTTCTGCCTACTGAGCACAATGCAGTCTTAGGCTGATCATTACAATCATCAGTTTTTTGTACTATGCTCTAATAAAACGATGCCCTAAGGTCTTTACTTTATGCTAAATAACCTCTGATTATAGCCCTGTTCATATTTAGCCCTCTTAAATATATATTTAATCACAGCAATATTTTGTGCTCTTTCTTAATGAGAAAAAGGGCCTGAAATGAACAGCTGTGGTCCTTGCACTCACCTGTCTGCAGACTTGGCCACAGGCAATCACTGTTACACATTCCTTTGTGATTTCTTCTTCTGGTGGTGGTTTTCATATCTCTAATGTTACTCTTTTTTTTTTTTTTTTTTGAGGAAAATTAGCCCTGAGCTAACATCTGCTGCCAGTCCTCCTCTTTTTGCTGAGGAAGACTGGCCCTGAGCTAACATCTGCCCATCTTCCTCTACTTTATACGTGGGATGTCTGCCACAGCATAGCTTGTCAGGTGGTGTCATGTCTGCACCCGGGATCCAAACCGGCAAACCACAGGCCACCAAAGCAGAACGTGCGAATTTAACCACTGGGCCACTGGGATGGCCCCTAAATGTTATTCTTATAACAATAGTTCTTACAGTAGACTTGATCATTACACTTCTTGCTATGATAGGTGAAGATTTAACTCATTTCACTCCTTATCATTTTAATGGCTTTCTATTTCTTCTTCTATTTTAACAGTAAATGGCATCCTTCCATTACTTGTCCATTAACTATAGATATCTCTTGATTCCCTAATCTGTAACATGAAGATTAGCAAGTGCACCCTTTCCTGTCACCTCTTCTCCTTCCATTTTACCTACCAGTCCTGTTACCTGTACTTTCATAGTCATGGTTGATAGTTGATAGCAGTTACATTCTCTACTGTAACCGTAATTACAGCTGTGTTCTGTTTATAGGTTGATTTAGAAAGTTGAAGGATAAAGAGCATTTATATTATTATTTCTGCATAGACAGCATCGACTGCAAAGTAGTAGGTTATGATTGTGGTTGCTTTTCTACAGTGTTATTGTTTATGACTGCTGCCCCACTCAAAAGAAAGTGTTCAAAATAATTAACCTTTCTCATCACCAATTAATCAAATTATGATACATTTTAATTTGTTTCTTACAGACCTTTTATATTTATTTTGCTGTCATTTTTTCCTGTTGTGGGACCAAATATTTTTTCTTACTGTGGCGTTAATATCTTTCAACTCTTTCTGAATCTAATGATTGCTTAGAATCTCTTCTCTTCATCTGGAAGTCCAATTCCTCTTCTGAATTGTTCGCATAGCTTCATAGTTGGATCGCTGCTTTCTCACACATCTTCTCCCCTTCCTCCCTTGTCGTATTGCTAGTTCTCTTTTCCTTTCTTAGAGTGCTTCTATCAGTCTCAGTTTTTCTCATTTGTTCATTTATATTACCCTTCTATCAATTGTATCCTAAGGTAATTTCACATTCCTTACATTCCTGAGAACATGTTTATTTCAAACTTGATTGTTTGGCTTGAAATAGAATTCTAGATTGAAAATCACGGTGCCCTCAAAGCTGAAGGAATCGTTCCATTATCTGCCAGTGTCTAGTGTCGCTGATGACCAGTCCAGTCCCACTCTCATTTGCCCTTGTCACATAATTTTTTTTCCTCTGAAAACTTTTAGGATCTTCTTTTTATCTATAATGCTCTCAAATATCACAGTATGTCTCGGTGTTAGTCTTTTCTTGTTTCTCTTATTGAGAACCTGGGAAATAATTTAAATTTGAAGACTTAATCTCCTTTAATTGTATTATGTCTCCAGAAATATTTCCTCCATTTTCTCTCTCTTCTCTTTCTGGGACTCCCCTGTTTGAAAGTTGGATTTGTTGGATTATATCTCTAGGTCCCTTTCTCCTCTCTCCCCCTCAATATATTCCACCCATGTCTTTCATATTCTATGAATTTTAACTCTGTCTTCTAATGTTGGTGTTTAATTTGAGCAATCATATTTTAAATTTATAAGTGCTCTTTTACTTTCTTTGTTCCTTTTTTATATGATCTTGGGGTTTTTTTTCCTTCTTCTCGCCAAACCCCCCAGTACATAGTTGTATATTTTGTGGGTCCTTCTAGTTGTGGCATGTGGGATGCCACCTCAGCGTGTCCTGATGAGCGGTGCCACATCCATTCCCAGGATCCGAACTGGTGAAACCCTGGGCCGCTGAATCAGAGCGCTGAACTTAACCACTCGGCCCCAGGGCTGGCCCCTAATATTGTTCTTTTTTGGTGAATGCTATTGGGAGAAGCAGTCTGCCCTGGGCCATGAGCATCTCTGCATGCCCTTTGTCCAGAAGGCAAACGCCTGACTGCTCTTTACCTGGGCAGTTTTGCAGGGATATGTGTGCAGTGACAAGCCTCAAGGAACGAAATGATGTCTCCCACTGAACAAAGCACAGGCTTGTTATCACTTCCTATAAAAACAGTAAGTGCCTCAAACTCAGTGTTCCTCTCCTGTGACACAGTCATCGGCGTGTGCTAGCATCCACGAAGGAACCTTTGTTTCACTCCATGAGACCTGGGAGCATGGGAAACTGATGCAAACAAACATGAAGTAGTAAAGTGCTTTGTCTCTGACCCAGGAGTCCCATGTTTTCTGCCAGCATTTTTTATTTTTATTGACCTAACATTGGTTTATGACATTGTATAAATTTCAGGTGTATATCATTATATTTTGATTTCTGTGTAGATTACATCACGTTCACCCCCCAAAGATTAATTACCATCCATCACCACACACATGAGCCTAATCACCTCTTCTGCCCTCCTCTGTCCCACCTCTCCCTCTGGTAACCACCAATCCAACCTCTGTCTGCCAGTATTTGTGAAACAGTACCAGCTAGCTTATTAGCTTGTATATAAGATAAAATCTTAGGCCCTGCACAGTTCTTGACAAATACAATATCTTCTCTGACTTTTTCTATGTATATTCAAGTTTCTTTTTAATGTTTTTGATACTTCTTTGAACTGTCTTTTTCTTCCAGAGTCTGTTTTGTTTGGGAGTTTTTTTTTTAAATCATGTCAGGTTTTGCTCAGATATATGGTGAATTTTTTTTTTTTTTTTAAAGATTTTATTTTTTCCTTTTTCTCCCCAAAGCCCCCCGGTACATAGTTGTGTATTCTTCGTTGTGGGTTCTTCTAGTTGTGGCATGTGGGACGCTGCCTCAGCGTGGTCTGGTGAGCAGTGTCATGTCCGCGCCCAGGATTCGAACCAACGAAACACTGGGCCGCCTGCAGCGGAGCGCGCGAACTTAACCACTCTGCCACGGGGCCAGCCCCTATGGTGAATTTTTTTTGATAGATCAGTCATTAAACAATAGAAGACTAATACTGGGACTGGTTGGGAGTGGGGCAGAAGGTTGGTCTGCTATTCTATACAAAGAAATTTAATTGTGACCTCTATTTTTAGCTCCATTTCTTATGTCCAGGCTCTGCTGCTTCTTAATCCAGTATTTTTCTTAATGTTTTCCTGCACTGCAATCTCCTTTGAGATTATAGCTTCCTTCATCAAAACTTTTCCACTAGCTTTCTGTTTTCCGGATATTTCTTGAAATCGCTTATCTGCTGCTGATTCTACTCCAAGTCTTTTTGTTAGTGTAAGATTATACCTTTTTATCTCTTTAGTTCCGTTTTTGGGAGAGGGAGGAGATAAACTCCTGTGAATAGTCAACTATACGGAAGAAGAAAACTCCCCTTTTTTTTTAATGTTTTAGCAATCACTTGCTTCTTGTTTCTACAGCTGTACCTACATGCTTCTAGCAATGCCATTTCTCTGTTTTTACTCCATCCCTACACCTAAATATAAAGCTTTAGTATCGGGAAAATCAACAAAATGTTTAATAAAAATGAACTTAAAATAGGAGTTAAATGTGCTCATAAGAGGGGGGCTTATTTGCGGCATTTAGTTTAGCTACTCAGAGAAATTTTTGCTTACTTTTAGGTTTGAGTGTAAATGCATTTTTAGATAAATGAATATATAAAGATGTAGCATAACTGTGTTTACTATTTTAGAATGTATATCCTCATGAGTTTTGTTTCTATTAAACCTAATATTCTTAAAAATTGCTCTGTCTTTTACTAAAAATCATCAGAAGATTTATATGTATAGATGTCACAAATTGATTTAATCCCGTAGAAGAAGCATTGTCAGTCATTTAAAGGGCCACACCAGGCTTTTGGCCCATACAGTTTCTGTTAGACTACTCAACTCTCTTGATACAGCACAATAGCAGCCCCAAGCAATATGTAAATGAATCAGTGAGGCCGTGTTGCAGTAAACCTTTATTTATGAAAAATAAAATTTAAATTTTAGATAATTTTCACTTGTCAAGGACATTCTTTTTATTTTTTTACAACCATTTAAAAATATAAAATCAATTCTTAGCTTGCAGTTTGTACAAAAACTGGCCAACCCTTGCCCTAGAATTACCTGTTTTAGTAGCTTTGTTAATGCTTGAATACTGATATCTTTCTACTCTGCCCCTTATCTTTATCAGGCAAGCTAATGAAGAATATCAAATCCTAGCTAACTCCTGGCGCTATTCATCCGCTTTCTGTAACAAACTCTTCTTCAGTATGGTGGACTATGATGAGGGGTCAGATGTTTTTCAACAGGTAAAAGAGTTACATTTTATTTTGCTAATATATTTGAATAGCTGGTTATAGTTGATACATTTTTGTTTTCCAGATAAGCGTGCAATTCATTGAATAAGTTAGTAAATACAATAGTTATAATAAATTCTGTAATATGGTTAAAATCATTTCAGCTAATGTTATCTTTATCATTGCACAGTTTTCTCCATTAGTGAGTACAGTAAGCACATTTTAACTTGCATTGTAGAGGAAATGTGTTTTTCAGCATATAGTGGCAGTTTACATGCATTAACTTTATTTTGATATTTAACTGTATTGGACTTTGGTGTTTTGCACAAATTTATGAAATTTTATATAAAATTCAATGTAAGTTTTACTTAACCTTTGTGTCTTCCAATGTGGCAGGTATAGAAAATTTTATATGTAAAGTATTAAATATTTAAAAGTGTTTGTTCTGTTAGGGACCGAGTTGTGGCCCTCCTAAATTCATGTGTTGAAGCCACTACCCCCAGTGTGACTGTATTTGGAGATAGGGCCTTCAAGGATGTAATTAAAGTTAAATGAGGTCGTAAGGATGGGGCCCTGATCCAATAGGACTGGTGTCCTCATAAGGCAAAGAGACACCAGGAGCATATGTGCACAAGAAAAAGCTGCATAAGGACACTGCAAAAAGATGGCTGTCTGCAAACCAGGAAGAGAGATCTCACCAGAACCAGTCCTGGCACTTTGATCTTGGACTGCCAGCTTCCAGAACTGTGAGAAAATCAATTTGTATTGTTTTAGCCACCCAGTCTGTGGTGTTGTTACAGCGACCCAAGCAGACTAGTACATTCAATTGTACACAGTCTTCTCCATAGAGCAAGGTATTGAATGGTGGTGTAAGGATGTTAGTTGTCATCACTTTTGTCATGGTTGTGTCATCATCATTGCTAACATTGAATCCTTATGTTCCAAGCACTCTCCCAAGTGCTTCATGTGTATTCTTTCATTTAGCTTCGCAAATACTGTTATCTCCATTTCTCAGATGAGGAAATTAAGGTATGGAGAGGTTAAGTTGCCTGTCCACGTGTACAAATTTAGTGTAAAAGGGAGCTAAAATTTGAGCTCAGCAGTTGGCTCCCAGAGCTCTAGCTCTTAATCCTGCTGTTATCTTGCAGTTATTATTTTTTTATGTTTATCCCTACTTGATCAGTGCCTCTCAAATATAAAACTTACTGCAGTACCCAGAACTGATTAGTCTGGGTATCTTGGTCTATTTTATTTTTCTCACATATTTCTCTCTTTGGCATAATGTTTTACCAGGTCATGGAAAAGCATTTAGTTCTGTAAAGAATCTAGCTCACTAGTTATAAATGGGTCATTACTGAGTATTTTTGCTTATTTGCTTCCAGATTGATTATTCATTCGTCTTTGCCAGTTTCTATTGAATAAGATAAATTCTCTCCTTTTGCCTTCAGTCCCCTTTACCCTTCGTCTTCCCTATTAGTATTCCTCACTTATTTCTTCCCCCATAAATTTATTTTGCCTTGTGGGATGTTTCTTTTTGTTCACCTAGTCAGCAGATAGTGCTGAGCAGTGAGTTGGTGAGAAACACAAATAGTTCTTCCCCGTAAGAAGCTTACAGACTAGGGAGCTAATAATAATAGTAATAATAGTATAATAAAAAAGAAAAACACATACATAAATATGTAATTTCAAATAACCTTATAAAGGAAAATTATAGGACTGTAAGAACCAGTATTATTTCGTGTAGTTTCTAGGTCTCTACAGACTCTCAGGAGGACTGGCCTTAGAGATCATCAGAGAAAGTTCAGTTCCTCACATCCTTGAGGCCTCTCTGCCATGTTAGGAAATACTCATCCAGGTCCAAGCTGTCTGCTAGAGCAGAGGCTTCGAGCCCCATCATCTCCCCTGCTGGGCCTGTACACTAAACGCAGGCACTGACTTGGATTAGTTTCCTTTCGTTTGGGGATCTTTGTTTAGGTACATACTTAGTATATTAAACACATTCATTCTTCACTTGCATAATTCAATATGCTTATTTTTATTAAAACAAAGCCTTTCTTGGTCTTTTTTAAAAACAATAAATATTTAATGGAAACACTCATATTTCAGTTTTCTCCTAACTACTATATAAGAAATAAAATCAAGAAGATACCATGAACACCATGCACCCGACCGTGACTGTTGGTCTCCTTGTTGAGGAAACAGTGTGGTGGGGGTGGGCACTACAGCAAATGGGGAGGGCGAGTTGACTTCAGTGAGAGATACAGCTCGACTCAAGCCCTTGTGAAGAAATGCAGGCTACGTATAGCTAGATCTGTTTTTTCAAGAAGAGACCCAAATAGGAATTTTTATGTGAACTTTCTCCACCTTTAAAATGTTGGCAGCAATTCAGATTAAAAAAACAAAACTGTGGGACAGACTCATCCTACTTTTGTGCTGCATATTGACTATAAGCTGCCAGTATATGACCATATAGATATATTGTTAGATATCATCACTGAATTCTTTTATATACTTTAAACATAATTTATTTTTTTTTAAGTTTGGCATAGATATGAGAGTTGAAGTCCAGATTGTTTTTAATTGAAAAATTTTCTCAAGTTAATTTTGATTCAGCAGAATTCCAAATATAGAAATACTTTGTCTTTTCTAAAACCTAGCCCCTGGCTTAGCAATGAGTTTTCATTTTAAAATTCAAAAATGCATAACAGTTATAGCAGTTAATGATTTTTATGGAGAATTATAATACACAAAAATAGGAAAGTGTATATTTTGCTTTATTTGGGAACTACTAAAAGATTTTTAATGCTTATGTTTCCTTTCTCACTAACTATTGAATCATATTTTGTTGACGTACTTATTCTAAATTGATATTTTAAAGCACTGTACTGCCTGAAGATAATGTTAATAACAAGTGTAGAGACTTGGTAATTCCTGGCTTGTTGGGGACTTGTTGGGAAAGTAACTTAAATTATATGTGATTCCCGTGTGATGGCTGATCCTGAAGGTCAGATGACAGGCCAACCAGTTAATGAATGTGGTGTGTTAGAAGGAGCCCTGGACTAGAAATCAGATCTGTGTTGTACCTGCTTTGTGGAGCCTTTGGAAATTTGTGCATTTTAATTAAGATGAAAACTTTGAATTATATGAGTTGTTTTAACTTTAAAATTCTAGCATGTTAAACCTTAGTAGGAATTTTCTGATTGTTCAAATGCAGGGAGTTCCTCCACTGTAATTTTATAGTTACATGTTAGCTGTAGTTATCTCTTGTGCATCCATCAGGGAAACAGACGTGAACAAAGTCTGGAGTGGGAAAAAGCACAGAGAAGAAGGGAACTGGTGACTGTGTGTTTTGTTCAACTTAACCAACATTACTAAATGTCCATAACATGCAAACCCACTGCTGGTACTGCTGGATCTTTACCTTGATGTCACCTGTGATCTAATGTGTGTCTTTATTTGATTTGATTTTGCTTTTCATTCTCATTTTTGGGAAATGCTAAACTGTATGGCAAGTCAGGGTCAAAAATCTCTTGGCCTTTCATTTGAGGTATTTTTCATAATTCCTGGGCAGCAAGGAGTTTATCTATAGAACTTGGGCAGTTCCTCAATGCAAGTTAACTAGCACTTGTTTTTAGATGTCATATTGTTAATAAACACCATTTATACTAGGGTAGTATTCTCTTCAGTACACTTTTCAAATGCAATTACCTTTAGAAAGTAATTGTGAGATATAACCATTTTAAGACAGTTGAATTACTAGATTGAACAGAACAAGACTGTGATTGTGGGTTTCTCCTACAGTTTGGTAAATTCAAATTTAGAGCAAAAATGTTGGCTTCTATTATGGTCATCATTTTAAAAAAGTCTTTGCATTTTTAGTAGAGCATTCAGTCTACTTATAATTTGTTTGAAATTAATTCCATAATATATTTATATTTTCATGAAATACCAGTTCTTTTTCTTTAATAACTGCTTAAGAAGAGAAATAGTCCATATACAGCCAAATTACAGTATTTCTATACTTCATTCTTTACAAATATTTCAATATTTCACTTCATTGTTTAATTACAGAATTCTAGAAAGAAAGAGAATGAAATGGCTGATAAAATACAGACGATGCAGCTGAGAATATGAATGATGTATGTTGAATGTGAAGCTTCAGAGAACTTAGCCAAATTCACAAGTTCTTTTTCGTTCAACAGTGCATTAGGATGAATAAAAACAGTGATTAAGCTCTGGAAAGCCACTTGGATTTTCATAATAAATGCTGTCTTTCCAAAATCCGTGCAGACAAAACATATAATGTTAGATTAATGATATATAAGATAATGATATATAAGGATATGTAAGGATTGCTGGGATGATATTTTATTTAGTATTTTTTATCTTATGTTTTATAGCTCAACATGAACTCTGCTCCTACATTCATGCATTTTCCTCCAAAAGGCAGGCCCAAAAGAGCGGATACTTTTGACCTTCAAAGGATTGGATTTGCGGCTGAACAGCTAGCGAAGTGGATTGCTGATAGAACGGATGTTCATGTATGTTTCTGTCCCCCACAGTTTTAATAATAGGCTAATTAGTTTGGTTTGTTAGAGCATTGTACTAAGGCTGCAGGATCTTTTTAAAATTTCTCTACAGAACATTTCTCCTTGCTTAGAGAAAATTGATAGCTATAAGCTATAAGCTGAACGTTGACTCAGGTGAATTTAAATGGTTTTTAGAATAATGGTGCATTGATATTTTAAGAACCATTAAAAAGTACATGAGTTAGGCACAAAGTGATTTCAGAGACTAAAATATATATGGAATATTGTTCAGTGGTATTTGTAATGAAGGAAATTCTAATTAGAAAGCAAGATGTATAATTTTTATCTATTTTTGGGCAAATAAAAATGGGATAATACACACTATTTATGAGCCATGTGAGAAAATATCACCTCACGTATACTGTTCTTGGGACTAAAAATTGATATCACTGTTCTAATAATATGTGTAATATATATATTTTATGTAATTTAACTTGACAATTCTACTTCTAGGAATCTAACCTAAGTATATAACCAGGGATGATTCAAATACTTAGCCATAGAAATTGTTTTTACTAGCATTCATTTTAATGGAAAAAATTGGAAATAAATCAAATGTCTAAAAATAGGACAATAATTAAATTTACTTTAGCAAAGACAGATAATGGTCTGCAAGAGTATTTGACATAGAAAGAAGCTCAAAGTATAACAAGTGATAAAGTAGGTTAGAAAAATAGTATTTATAGTATGATATAGAATTTTATTTTAAAGCGTAAATGTGAGTATAGATATGTAGATATATAGTTTATTCAGCAAGTAAATGAACCAAAATCTTTATGGTGGTTAATGTCTGTGTGGAGGACTATGGCTGCTTTATTCCCTAACCTCACTGGAATTTTCTACAGTGAACAATTTACTTTAAAAGTACATTTACTCTAGAAGTAATACATAAGCATTAATTTTTACCATAAGGTATAAACAGATTTATTCTTAGTCGAGATAGGTGTCTTTCATATAATACCACCATCATTGTAAATGAAATAACATCATAGGTTTTAATGATATTTTGGCGAATAAACTTATTTCCTAACTCTTGTCATTTTTTTTGAAATGTTTTGGCAAATATTCAGCTCTGCAGTGTATCATTTTGTTGGTGCAAGATACTAAGGGTAATTAATTGTCTATTAATTGTTTTAAGAATTACTGAATTTTAATCAAAAATGGTTCTAACCTATTTATCATACTTCCATTTTAAGTTAGTTGATAGATACTTTTGTAAAAAAATTTATTTGGAAAAAATTTCAAAGTTTCACACATGAAAATAGTACCAATGTATACCTTTATCAAGATTCACCTATTCTTAACATTTTATCCCTTTTGCTTTGCCATCCTCATCTCTCCCCCACCCTGTCTTTCTACACACATATTTCATACACACACGTTTGAGTGTGAGTTGCCTTTCCCAAAAAATATATACGGACAGGTTGCATATCAACTTCACAGATTTACATTGATATAATACATTTATCTGAGCTACTATCCATAATCCAATTTGTCAGTTGACCTACTAATATTCTCTAGTAATATTTTCCCACCTTCAGTACAAGATCCAGTCTAGAGTTAGGTATTGTATTTAGTTGACAGGTGTTTCTAGCCTCTCTTAATCTGGAACATTTCCATAGCCTATCTTTGTTCTTTAAAGACAGTGACATTTGAATCCTCTCCCACTTTTTCAATAGAATGATCCCCATATGATTTGCCTGATATTTCCTCATGATTGGATGCTACTTATGCATTCTTGACCACAGTACTACCTCAGCCAGGTTTTGTTCTAATCCCATCTATAGGCACGTGATGTCCGGCTGTCCCTCATCGATGATGTTAATTTTGAACATCTGGTCAAGGTGTTTTCCGTTTCTCCACTGTATAATTAACTGTTGTTTCTTCACGCCCCTCTCCTTTGTAATTAGTAAGCTGTCTGTGTGGAGACACTTTAAGATCATGTTAATATCTTACTTCTCATCAAAATTTTCTCCTAGATTTAGCATCCTTTGGTGATTTTTGCCTGATCCTGATTTTTCCATCATGGTTGCAAAATGGTGATGTTCCAGTTCTAGCATTTGTTCCATGTTCCTAGTTTTCCCTCAGCATTCTGGTGTAAGCAAAAGTCCTTTCTTATCTGGCTATATATTTATGCATCACCATTGATATAGACTCATGAATTGTATTTTTTTCTTCAATGGTTTGTAAGTTATTACTATGCTTAAATATTGCTACATTATTAAAATTATTCTAGATTTGGCTAGTAGGAGCCCCTTCATACTGGCTTCTGTGTCCATGTGACATCTCTCCATTATTTTCTTTTAAGCGCTTTCTTACTTTCCTGACATAACAGTATTTTCCAGGCTCATCTTCTATCTACTTGTCTACTGCTGTGTGCTAAATTAGCTGTCTTTCCTCAGAGCCATGGTTTCTTTTAGTGAGGAATGTTATTAGAACCAAGATCTGTATGAAATCATGAGTTCATACCAATTACATCTAATTTTTAAAAACAGCCTTTATGCTTTAACGGACATCATCAAAAAAGTGAAGACAACCCACAGAATAGAAGAAAATATTTGCAAATCATTTACTTATAGTTAGTATATAGATAGGACTCTTACAACTGAATAATAAAAAGATAACCCAGTTAAAAAATGAGTAGAGGATCTGAATAGACATTTCTTCAAAGAAAATATACAAGTGGCCAAAAAGTACAGAAAAGATGCTCAGCATCATTAGTCATTAGAGACATGCAGATCAAACCTACAATGAAATATCACTTCATACCCACTGGGATGGCTAGAATCAATAAGTGAGATAACAAGTATTGGCAAAGAAGTGGAGAAATCAGAACTCTCATACACCGCTGGTGGGAATATAAAATGGTGCAGCCGTGTGAGAAAACAATCTGGCAGTTCCTCAAACCATTAAACATAGTGTTACCATGTGACACAGCACTTCCACTCTCAGGCAGATACCAAAGATAAATGAAAACATATGCCCACACAAAAACTTGAATGTTTATAGCAGCATTATTCATAATAGCTGTAAGATGGAAACAACCCAGATGCTCATCACCTGATTAGCGAAGGAACAAATTGTGGTCTATTAGTACAATGGAATATTCAGCCATAAAAAGGAATGCAGCACTGGCATGCTACAGCAAGAATGAACCTTGAAAACGTTATGCTAAGTGAAAGAAGCTAGTTACAGAAGACCACATATTTTATGAAAGCCTAGAAAAAGGGAAATCTATAGATATAGAAAGTAGATTAATGGTTGTTTAGGGCTAGAGGGTAAGGGAATAAGAGGGTGATTGCTAAAGGGTTTCCTGTTGATGTGGTTGAGATGTTCTGATACTGACTGCAGTGAGGGGTGCACATATGTGTGAATATACCAAAAACCATTGAATTGTACACCTTGAATGGGTGAATTGTATGGTGTGTGGATTATATCTCAATAAAACTGTTTAAAAAGTCTTTGAACTGTCCCAATTTGGAATAATACAAATATTGCACCCTGCCCTTTACTAGATGATCCCATGTTCCATGGGTGAAACACAGGAGCTCTGGGTTGACTATAGATAATGTTTGCTTATGTTTAACTGTATTTATCTAAAGCAAGTCTTTTTACGTAGCCATGATGTTTTTAAGGCATGTTTTTTTGACTTGTAAAGAGTAAAAGGAGTGGTAGTGCAAGGTATGAAAAGTAGGGTGATACCTTTCTGAATTCTTTGTGTTGAAAATTGGAAGGACTAGGATATGGTCAAGAAAAAAATATAGTTTTTTTCACCTTAAAAATTTTCATTGCATTTTTCAGATTCGAGTCTTCAGACCACCCAACTATTCCGGCACCATTGCTTTGGCCTTGTTAGTGTCACTTGTTGGTGGTTTGCTCTATTTAAGAAGGAACAACTTGGAATTCATCTATAACAAGACTGGTTGGGCCATGGTGTCTCTGGTATGTTATCACATTGTACTTTTTCCCCCCCTTTTCTTTGTGTAATAGTATAAGTTATATAATATTAACAAAATGGGCCAGGTTATTACTGTAATGGAAATAGAGTCTGAATAATTTTTGAAAAAGAACAAAGTTAGAAGACTACCTGATTTTAAGGCTTATTACAAAGATACCGTTAATTGAGATATTGTGAATTTGGCGTAGGATAGACATATAGATCAGTGAACAGAATAGAGTCCAGAAGTATATGCTCACATATATGGTTGTTGATTTTCAACAAAGGTGTCAAAGTGATTCAATGAGAAAAGCATAGTCTTTCCCAAACGGTGCTGGAATAATTGAACATCTTTATGTAAATGATGAACCACAACCCTTATCTCATATCACGTATAAAAATTACTCAAAATGTGCTATAGCTCCATATATAAGAGCTAAAATTATAAATCTTCTGGAAGAACACAGAAAACTTTTGTGGTACAAAAAGTATGAACCATGGAAGCAAAAAAAGATAAATTGGACTTCATCAAGATTAAAAAATTCTGGTCTTCAAAAGATACTGTTATGAGAATGAAAAGACAATCCATAGACTAAGAAAATATTTCGAAAATGTATAGGGGACATGTATCTAGAATATGTAAAGAATTTATTGGTACTCAATTAGAAGACAGAAATGATGGTTTTAGAAAATGGACAATCTGTTTCTAGGTAAGACGGCATATGTACATGCCAACCTTTCTCTCCCACTGACACAACTATAAACCCTGGAGAGAATGCAAGGCTCAGGTATTTGATCTTTCTGAATGACATCTAATTAGGAGATGTGGAGGGCTATTAATTTTTTATTTACTATTTTGGTTTTCCTTGACTTGAATTCAGTGCAGCTTGAAACTTGGAAATGAGCACTGTGGAGCAGAGAGAGAGAGATCTAGGAGATACTTCTAGTTCTGGCTTATAGAGCAGAAAAGGGAATCTGTAAAGCTCAGGGAGAGGAGGGGAGATTCCTCAGCTTTTCTCCTATTCTTTCATTGCAGTGCTCAGGTAATCCTGCAGCAGGACAGTAGAGGGAGTGACAGCAGCTGGCAGAGGGGAGCTGTAGGAGCCAGAACTCTTAGAGAGGGGAACCTTCCTCTCTATTCAATGGAGCCGTGTCTCCAAGGGAAAGGGGCCATGCCCTGCTTTTTTTTGTTGTAGTTCTTTTTCTGTCCCCTGGCTGCTGTTGTGTCATTGTAGAAGGAGAGATTTTCAAGCTAGAGGGAAAACAGGATCTCTTGGGAAACAGAAAATACTAGTGAGATATTAGAGAATGAGTAACTCTGGAAAGTGATGCCGTAAAACTGTTTTTGAACTCCTGGGCTCACCCCTGACCTGCACATGTGTGGGCCTGATCCTAATTAGCATTCTAAAGCTGTTGGTTACTGAACTAAAGGACAAAATTCTGCCCATATCCCAGACTGGTCACTAGGTGGCACTCATAAGGACCAGATCTGAATAACAACACTGCAGTCTTTGAAAATTTAGTTGACATTGGAACTAAGCCTCTTGAAGAGATTAGAACTCAACCCCTGTATCTAATGAGGTTAAGTGTCTGCTAAAATAAAAGTATGAACACTCTCCATAGGATTTAAATAAGATGCAGAGTCACATTTAATGTAATAGTTGAAATATTCAGGATAAAATCCACAATCACTTGGTTTACAAAGAACCACAAAAACTTGACTTACTTGAGAAAAGAGAATCATCAGATGCTCACTACGAGATGGCAGATGTTAAAATTATCTGACAAAGACTGTAAAACAGCTATTATAAAAATGCTCAAATGAGCAATCATAAACATTCTTGAAACAAAATTTAAAATAGAAAGTATCAGAAAAAAATAGAAGATATAACAAAGAATGAAATGGAAATTTTAGACAATCTTCCTAAGATTGTCAAAATTGTATGGCTGATTCAAGAAGCTGAGTGAACCCCAAATAAGATAAAGCCCCAAAATCCACTTCCAGATACATCATAATCAAACTAAAACAAATTAAAAAAAAATCTTTGAAACAGGTAGGAAAAATCTATGCATTACCGATAGGGAACAACAATTTAAATGACTGCATATTTCTTATCAGAAATTATGGAGGGCAGGAGAAAGTGGCATAACATTTTTATAATTTTGAAAAAAAATGTCAATCCAGAATTCTGTCTTCAGTAAAAGTATTCTTCAGGAATGCAGGTGAAATAAAGACATTCTTGGATAAAGAAAATAGAATGAGAGAGAGAGAAAAAGAAAGAAAGAAAAAAACCTAATTAGTGAAGGAAATTCTTTATACAGAAGGAAAGTGATACGAGAAGAAAAGCAGAAATAAAATAACACAGTTTAAATATCTGGATGAATATAATAGACTATTCTACTTCTCTTGAGATTTAAAAATGTGTTTGTAAATTGAAAACAAGAAATAGAACACTTTTTGACAGGGTGTTCAATATATATAAATGTAATATGTAACACAACTGTGAGGGGAAAGTAAGGGACCTATACAGTTGTAAAGGATTTCTTCCAATTGAAGTGGTAAAATATTGATTCTGAATAGACTGGAAAATTAAGTATGTATTTTATAATCCCTAGTGTGACTACTATAAAAGATAAGATATACACAATGGAATATTATTCAGCCATAAATAGAATGAAATCTCACCATTTGTGACAACATGGACAGATCTAGAGAGTATAATGCTGAGGGAAATAAGTCAGACAATATGACAAAGACAATATGAACAAAGGATTTAGCACTATATCTGCACGTATCTATTATAAGAAAATAATTTGCAAACGAAAGCAATGTTTCCCTACAGATAAAGAAAACTTACCAGAGAAGTGTTGCCACAAAGTTCAGTGAAATTATAAAAATCACTCTAGTATGGACAACAAAATAGTTACAGCTACCAAGAAAGACCATAAGGCCAAATATGATAATGTAAGAGGAGATGGCCAGAAAATAGGAGGAGGTGACATGGCATATGGCAAATCTTGCTTATGAACATAGAATCACATTGTTCTTTTAAAAAAGTACTACCAACCAAATTCAGCTGTGTATAAAACAGCAAAAGTCAGATTGTAGAAACGGTTGGTTCAGCATTAGGGGAAGTATAAATTAATTGAAAACTAACACATTAATGGTTTAAAGGAGAAATACTATGTGACGGTGTCATTAGATGCCACAGAAATTAGTTAAAATTCGTCATTCATGATTTTAAAAAGTTAACAAACTGAATACAAGTAAACTTTCTTAATTAGGTAAAGGGTATCTTAAAATATTTAGCAAATATCTTACTTAGTAGTGATAATTTAAAATGATGCCTACAGTCACCTGCTGTTCATCGTTTTACTAATGGTCTTAGTCAAAGCATTAAGAACAGAAAAAGAAATACAAAGAGTAAAAAAGTGTAAAAGAAGAGACAGGTCATTGTTTACTTATGATATGATTTACCCATGGTATGATTGTCCACACAGAAAATTCATCACAATTCATGGAGAACCAGTAATAAAATTAATACTGGAGTTGAACGCTTTTTCTGAATTCAAGGTCAATGTCCAAAAATCATTAGAACTTTTATACAGTAAACAATTTAGATATATAATTGAAAATAAAATCTCTTTCACAATAGGAAGAAAAAATGTACGATACTTAAAAATAAATCTAAAAAAGGTGTATAAAATATTTACAATAGAATATGAAAATTCAAACTATATGTATAATATATATGTATATATTTACAGCTAATTGTCAGTTTGTTCCTTTTTCTTTCTTTCAATAGCTCTTCATCTTTCCATTTTTATTTTCAACAGAGAATCAGTGCTGTTTATGACTGAGTTAGATGTGATAGGACAGACTAAGAAGCAGCCCAGGCAAGTTGCCTTATAGTATCTATCTTCTGCAGAAATAGCTAGAGTCTAGAAATTCAAACAGAACCTCCGTGGCTTTCTGGTAGATAGAGGAAATATAAATTTAAAATTTGGATTTTGAAAAGTAAGGAAGATAAGACATTTTAAGGAAAGTTTCTTAGTAGTATTTTCTCACTTTTGATAGTTGAGTTAAAATAGATGGATTAGTTATGCTCTAATGTAGTTGGATACTATTGTGATCTCAAGCATCTTCATTGTTAAGTTTGAAAGTGTTTTGGTTTTGCTCAGGCTAGTTTTCAAGTTGATTCATTCCATAAAGTTACCATAAAGTTTCATTCCATAAAGTAAAGGTTTCTTGGTAAAAATATAGGCCCTCTTTCAAGTGTTGTTGGAAGGTTAAAACTCCGTCAGTATTTAAACATTAATATCATACCAAATCCTGCCACTGTTTCAGTCTACCAAAAAACTGATGTAATCTCTCCGAGTTCAGCTTAAATGACATTCACCTTCGTTATTCTCTCTCTCTCTCTCTCGAAGAGCCCCAGAATTATTGTTGTAAGCTAGAAATAATCGGTATTACTATTTACTGTGTCTCTTCCTTCTTTGGGGTATGATTTATATACTCATTCCTTACAAGAAATCTGAAAAGGAATTTGCATCATCCTCATTTTACAAACAAGGAAACTAAGATTCAGTGAACTCAATTTGCGGAAGCTCACATAGCTAGAAAATGATTAACTGAGAGTAGATCCCACATGCGTCTGACTTCAAGTTCCATATTCTTTTCACAATGCTGGGCTTCTCTAAATCTGGGCACATCTCTCATATGTTGGATGTTTAACCCAGTGGATGCAATGAACCATTATAATTGCAAATAAATGCCTAAGAACATTTATATGCTGCATAAATGTTAAATACTTCAGTGGATCAATTTTCTTGCACCGTCTGCCATCATGCAGATCTTTTTTTCTATTTTGAATCTTTCAAAGCTAATTAACTTGGCATAGCAGAAGATATTCTAACATTCACAAACACATACTTGAGAAGGAAATCTTGGCAGGTATGCCTGCTTCCCAATAGCAGCCTTTTAGATGTCAATAACAGGCTGCAG